TTAAGCCCATTTTGAACTGGGCTGATTTGATCAGTCAATTAAAAGGGGCGAATTCTGAGATGGATCAGCTGATAGGATTGGGCCTAGACCCTATCCACTTAGAGAGTCCAAGATYTAAATGAGATTTAGATCTGGAAGCCTCCTAATTAGATTAGGAGATGGCCGATCTGATCTATAGATAAGATAAGGGTTATCCCTTATCACTTAAAGGGACTTCTAATCCAAATATGATTTGAATTTGCAACTCATAATGGGATTAGGAGCTGATCCCTTTAAGATTATGAAAGGAGAAAGGGGCGGCAACTGTTAGTGATTGACGTTCAATTTTCTTCAGAGCTGAAAATCACAAGAAGAGAGATTTCTACACCCTGCGAATTCTCTCTTGCCGCCTCCTTCCTGCCGCCGCCATCACCTTCGATTCGATCTCCAGTTCTTGGGAGAAATCAAGATCTGATCTTGATTCCAATTTTTGGGAAAAGATTGGTTGGAGTTGTACTCACAAACCGTCTAGTTGATTCTTGCGAAGGGTCAAGTTCTTTTGGAAGAACATTGTTGATTCTGCTCCATCTTGCACTGCGCCATCTTCAGTGGGAGCAGATTTTGGATCATTCCTTGGGCGTGAACACCTCAATTGGGAGATATTACTTCTCTGTATCAAGTACATCCTCCCAGATCTGGTTTGGTTCTTGATTCAAGATTGATCATTGAAAAACATGTTTTTCAATTATAGGGAATTCGATTCCCTGCAAAGATGGAAGAAATTTTTGAAATTCGCCCTTTCCATTCCGCAAGACTTGGCGTCCATGTGATGGATATCCCATCCCTTCAGTATTATTATTATTATTATTATTATTATTATTATTATATGTATGTAGCTATTCGAGCTTGGCTCATGAATCAAGCTTTATTAGGCTCAAGCTCGACTCGATTAATAAACGAGCCTATAAATTAAGCTCGAGCTCAGCTCGAAACTCAGTTGAAACCGAGTCGAGCCGAGCTCGAGTAGCTCGTGAAGAGCTTGACTCATGGCCACCCCTACATAAGGTGCAGTTCAGATCCACCACCTCTAGGCTTCTTTTAACTAAGGTGTTATTTGGGTAAACTTCTACTTGTGTACTTTTAACAGCATCAAAGTATTAAGTATAAAAAATGTTTTTACTTTGGTGTTTTTGTTTTGAAAACTGTTTGGGTAAAAAATTTTGTAAAGTATGCTTTTTGAAACAAAAGAACCATTTCCTATTTGGTAAAAGCACATTCGTCCATACTTTCAGTGATGGTTTCCGGTGGTTTGGTGGCTGAGACCGGCAACGGTGGTATAACTCCAGTAGCGACAAATGGAGGTAGGGTTGAGAGTTGTATCAGAAGGTGATGTGACCACCCGTTCACACAAAAACGAAAGTACTATTTCACCAAACTTCGTGCTTTGGGGGGTTTTTATACTTTTAAAAAGTATAAAAGCAGAAGCACAAAGTATACACTACAAACACTATATCGTACTTTTGTATATGGAAGTACTTTATATAAATTTATCCAAACCGGGCCCAAGGTTTCCTTGATTGGAATCTTATCAAGTACTGCGGTCCAAACAAAGAAGGCTAGCCTTGTTGATACAGACCTGACCCAGATCCTTTTACTCGGAAAGAGAGAGGAATCCTTTTATTCCCTTGATGGACCATTAAAGAAGGATTTCACTGAGAAAGAGACCGACTTCTCAAACAGCCATTTCCTTTTGTCCCCCCTGCACCAAAGATCCTGGAGTTGTATAAAATCTGCAATAACTTCTCAAATCTCTCAGATCCCTTCTCTTTCACATCTCTCAGATCTGAGAATCGTTCTCTTTTTCTCCGTTTTATTATTTTAATTTTTTGAAAATTTTAAATACTTCTCTCAGTTCAACAGTCAGACCGTCTAAGCCAATGATTCATTGACCAATTCAACTGTTTTTAGTAAAACAACAGTTCAGTATTAAAACCGAACCCATACCTTGGCAGGTTTCTTTTTACGGGTTTATATAGAAGTGTATAACCAATGATCGTGGGCTCTTTATTTTATTTTATTTTGGATAACATGAACTGCTTCATGGGACTACACAAGCAGATTATGTTATTAAAAAAACAAATTCATGTTTGTGACATTGATTCTCAGGATACAGAGAAGTCAGCAATGAATCCTTCCTAACATGAATGTATCTTTCTCAAGTGGGTTTCAAGCATTCCATCGACAGAGGTCAGGAAAAAAAAAAAAAGTCAGTGATAAAAATCGGTTTCAACAACGTCAAAAAGTTCAATTTAAAATGGATAAATCTTTGATGCGGCATGCGGTAAAGGAGGAACTAGGAAGTAGCAGAAGTGGAAGAAAGTAGGAAAGATGTAAACATTTAGAGGGTTCCTGTATAAATATCCAAAGGATTCGATTCTTCACCTAAATGAGGTAAGGCACTGAAAAGTCTACAGCTCTTTGGATTCTGGAGTGCAATTTTTTCAGAGCCAAATTGTGAGTCCTAAAATTTAGAAAATTCATTTTTCCTTTTGCATCCTTGTTTCCCTTTCTGCCCCAATCCAAAGTCCAAAGACATCCCAATGAAACAGAGGTTTTTTTTGCCATCATGTACACTGGAACAGACACCTCAATCAATATGGTGATCAAAACCAAGACAGCCTAGAAAAAATAAAAAATGAAAAAATAAACATATTAACAGGAACATATAAATGTGCATCACATGCTCCCAAGACTATGAAACATGCATGTGCTTTAAACAGGGTGCATTTTTTGAAAGATCACTTAAAACTTGAGAATAAATTAGCAGAGTGCATTTTTTGAACAAAACAGCTTTTATCTCGTTTGTAAATTACCCTCCTTCTTGGCCAAACGTGTAATCTTCGGTGGAGCTTCTCTTGTTGTGTTTAATGAAAGCTTACTTACAAAGAAATTAATAAATAAATAAAAACAAGTTATGGATCAGGAAGAGAACCAACATAGTGTGCTAGGCGAGACTGAAGAATTAGTAGCACACAATGACTGTCGATCTCAACTGTAAAAAATATCCCCTTTTGAAGATTATATGTAGTAGAACAAAATTTGGAAATGATAGCCGTCTGACTTTATGCTTATGCACACGAGGTTATGGTGATTTGAAGTTTTTAAAAAATAATGTAATACAATTCTCCTCTATGTAATATTTCCTCAAGACAAGACAAAACTCCTTGCATAATGTATATTCAATTACTAACAATCAGAAACATGAAAAAGACAATACATATTTGAGATCTTGGTTACTGCCAGTGATCCAGTAGTTACTATTCTTTTTGGTTTCTTGAATTTGGCAACTGCTACAGTTGGAAAAGAATCAAATACTGCAACTTTTTATCAACTACCACAAATCCTGACAAATCAAATAAATCTCTCTTGAAGATGATCGTGTTGCCTTGGGCCTTAACCACGATGCCTTCCTAAAACGGGGTTTGCAAATTTGGCTAAACTCTGCAAGGCACAGCAATCATAAGAAATTGTGAGAAGAGGAGAAAAGGCAACTAAAACCACTATTTCTATCATGAACTTGCACATCTTTACTCTCAAGAAGCTTGATTACAAGATTGCCTCCAGGTTGAAGAATACCATTGCCATCTGATTTAGAAGTAGAGCTATCGGACAGCTCCTCCTGATCAATATCACTGTCAGGATGAGATAAGACGGTTCCACCAACAGCCAAATCAAGAGCTCGCATTCCTACTTCAACTGATAAAGCAACATCTTTAGTTGTGATTCCAGCAACTAGGGGACACATATCTGACAGTACCACAGAAAATCCTTTCCCCTGAAAAACCGGTAAGACAAAATAGTGTGTATCTTGAATCAGAATTGGACCAAAATGGAAGACCAAACAAAAGAATAATTTTCCACGAGAAATTGAAACATTACTGTGGACCTGAAAAGATCCACCAAGTTGGAGATATACAGAAGCACCTTATTTCCCTCGATGCCTGCCGAGGGTTCAGACTTTTAAAACTAAGCATAAATTGGGAAAATCATGGACGACCCAAAGAATTATCAGGAAACCAGTATTGTTAAAATGGAATTATCGGCACCTACAGAAAACTGGACATAGTAGTTGTTATCTAGTTAAGGAGTTGTATCCACTTCTTTATTAGTAGATTGGTAGAAAGAAATCCATCTTCAAAACAAAATCCTAAATTAGTGCAGTGAGGCCAAAAGGCCAAAAATGAAGAATCCAATCATAGATTGATCATGTTTGGCATCTCGCTTTCACTGATTTTCACTTATAACATAAAGAAAATGGAGCTCCACTGACATTGAGTAAAATTATCAAAATATTCCTAAAACAGAAAACACTCAAGAAATAGAAAAAAAATTGAAAAAACATAAGAATATTCCTACACTGATTCTAGGACTGTCATGATGCCCACGTCAATAAGTGCAAGAGAATGCCACGCTCAATGCTCTTGGGAGTGACAAGAAAATGAAAAGAGTGCTTCTCATCCAGCAAAATCCAACAGTCAAGTTAAAGTTGACTCCCACTAAAAATAGGGTTAGGTGCATAATACATGTATGATGAGTGTATTAAACACATTAAAAATTTTGACTAAGCATATTAGACACTAATTATCTAAAGATATGGAAAATACAGTGATTTTTCATAAAAATTAAATGCATGGATAGTTTAGATTAGGGAAAAATTCCCGATAGGTACCCTGTACTTTAGGCCGAGTGCCAATTTAGTACCCGAACTTTAAAATGCGACAATCTAGTACCCGAACTTTCGAAATGCGACAATCTAGTACCTACCGCCAATGGACCGTCAGTTATGTATGTCACGTGACCTCATGTACGGTTTAAGACTTTTAAAAATGTCAAAATTACCCTTAGATACTGTTCATCATCTTCTTTCTCAAAAAAATGAAACAGAGCCCAAACACACTGTTCATCATCTTCTTTCTCAAGAAAATGAAGATCAGGTTCCGGGAACCCAAATCTCTTGATGGAGGTGAAGTCTCAAGAAAATGAAGATCTTGCTCATCTTTCGATGGCAAAACCGACTGAACTCCTCGCTGAAGTGTCTGATTCCTTTGTTCAACACCTCGTCCCAGGTGAGTCCCCTGAGAAGAGTGAAGGAAGCGGAGTTCGCTTTGCATTTTTGTATTGGGTTGAGGATTCGCTCGGACCCACTTTTCTGAAATCCGATGGATTCGAAGTCTTCGTAGAATGCTCGGTTCAGGAGTGCTTCTCCTGAACAGGAGACCCTCTGTTGAACGGTTTTTGGTTTGGGCACCCATAGATCGTTTTGTATCAGCCCTGGATTCGCCACTTATTTAATTCTCCAAGCTGTATCAGCCCTGCACCCCACCTTTTATTTGTGTTTTTCACAAGCAATACTGACTGTTGAAGGTAATATCTTAATGTTAAACTTGCTGACCATGGGGCAAGGGCTATTGGAAATAGATTAGGCCCATTAATAGAGTCAGTAGGAGGAACTTGTTAGACAATTTTGAGCCCCAAATCACATTTTTACATGGAAGATTCCTTAATTGTTCAGTCTTATTTACTGAAATAATCCGAGTACCAAATCTGTTGTCATATATATGCAAGCATTTATGATCCCGTTTATAGAAATGTTGAGATGCTGGTGCACCTGCTTTAGTTTTCTCAATACTAGTTTCTTGTTTTTGTTTTACTCACAACCTGTCCGAACAAAAGAGACGTGAATTGGTGTTCTTTCTTACATGGAACCCGAAACATTAATTTTGTAATATTGCAGGAACAAACCAAAAGCAGGGTAAGCTAAAGAAGGGAAAGAAGTTGTGGAAAATGGCTTCTTCTACCAACAATGAAGAGGACTATAAGGAGATGAAGGATATGGAGATTGACACAGAAAAGGAAAGGAAGGGAAAACAAACCCAAGATGAGAATTTGGAGATATCTGAGAAAGAGGGCACACCCTTGAATCTGACTGAAAAATCACCAACCAATGGACACTTCAATGAAGCTGTGCAAATAAAAGAGAAGTATCCTGCAGTGCGTCCAAAACAAAAGAAGAGAAAGAGGATAAAAAAGAACAAGCCTAGTGCACCAAAAACCGATAGTTCACTTAAAGAGAATGGTGCTCTATGCAGCAAGGATCTAACTAATACTAAGCATCTTGAGAAGGAGCAGAAACTGCATATAAAAACTGATCTACTTCCAGAGGAGCTTACCATTTCGCTAGACACTGCTGATACAAATTCAGGGAAGAACAACAAGCCTGATGAGAGTCAGAAAAGACTTAAAACCTACAAGAGGAGAAAAACATTTCAAACCTATCAGAGGAAGAACAAAATGCTGTTTGATCCCTCACTCAATAACATGGAGCAAGCCATGGAGAAGAGTCCTAACAGCACAATACATGGTATACAAAACAGTTCAGTAGGAGAGCTCTCTTCCAACGAACTAGACAATGCATGCATGGAAGAGAATGAAGAGGCTGTAAATGAATTGGAAAAGGCAATGGAAACATATCACATCTTCAATGAGGCAAATTTAGAGGCATCAACAACTGAATGCATTATGGAACAAACAATTCCTTCTTCATCTAATGTTGATGTTGTAGAACATCTTGTTCTGGTTGATGGTATCAACACAGAAGAAAGTTCTATGGAGATATTGCCTTCAAAAAGAGTACCAATAAGATAAAACTTCTTATTCTTGATATAAATGGATTGCTTGCTGATATTGTTAATTTTGTTCCAGATGGATATAAACCAGAGAAGAAAGTCTCTAGAAAAGTACATAAGAATTGATTGGTAATTTTATCTTTACTTTCATACTTGAAGATAACATTTCTATAATAACTTGTTAGTCTTAATGAGAATGCCTCTTTTTGTTTCAGTTTTTAAAAGGTCCTTCTGTGATGATTTCCTAGAGTTCTGTTTTGGGAGATTTGATGTGATGACTCAAGCTCTAGCTATTATGGAAATTTTTGAAGGGAATATGCTACCAGGATGTATCGCTCTGAAGAGGCCATTGGGGCTTGCGTTCGGATGCTTATTGAAGCCGTTGATATCAATAGGAACGACAGAGATTTTCTCATGGGAGGTGGGCTGGCATTTGTTGCAGGACACCAAACAGTTGTCTTCGTCGTTGGTCTTCGGTCATTTCCGGGATGATGGTTTGGCGTTGTTGTTCATGGAATGATGATGGAGGGGTGTTCGGTCTCCCTCTCTATAATTGTTGCAGATTTGCAGATTGCAGATTGCAGATGGTTGATAAAGAAAATTAGATGATAGTTGAAGGGCATTTGTGTCTTTTCCCATGACACTTAACAGCTGATTAACGGTAGGTACTAGATTGTCACATTTCGAAAGTTCGGGTACTAGATTGTCGTGTTTTAAAGTTCAGGTAATAAATTGGCACTCGGCCTAAACTACAAGGTACCTATCCGGAATTTTCCCTTTAGATTATCTAAAATACAGTAATTTTTAAAATATTGATAAAAATAGCTTAGATTTTAAAATGCTTTATTTTTAATATATTTTTATAATACAAAGTATGGTTATATTTGTAAAAAAATGCATATTTCAATAGATCATGCATATATTTACATATAAATTGTTCGTTCCATACTTTTTTAAAAGATAACACATCCATCTTTTACCAGTCTTTGTATGTTAGATTGTACATGAAGTTTTTTTTGATGAATGGTACATGAAGTTTTTGAGACCAAATTGTACATGTCTTTGTATGTTCCATTCTTGAAACCAGTCTTTGTATGTTCCATTCTTTGTATGTTCCATTCTTGAAACCAATTCTTTGTATGTTCCATTCTTGAAACCAGTCTTTGTATGTTCCATTCTTGAAACCATCTTTTACCAGTCTTTGTATGTTCCATTCTTGAAACCAAATTGTACATGAAGTTTTTTTTTTTTTTTTGATGAATGGTACATGAAGTTGCTCTTATCATACTTTTTTGAGAATGCACATTTAGTAACTACAGTTAGGTTCCCTGTGGTAAGTCACATTAGTTCCTAACAATATCTATGCAGAAAAAATATACTGACATCATAATCCTATAATTTGATGGAGTGCACAAAGTAAATCACCCAAGGAAGAACTTATCATTTGTAAGCTATGGCATCAAGCATGAGTATTGTAGGCATCAGCAACTCCAACTTTCATTGTCAGAACCGTCAATACTCAATACAAATGCTAGAAATGCTTATTTTCTATCCTGGTTTTCTGTACAATATTTTGCAAAAAATCTAAATTCAAAGAAACGAAGGTCGGGAGAAGAAAGACAATGAACAATTTAATACCTTAGGTGAGAGAAACCTAACTTGTTCTTTTGGAAGATTCATAACGTCAGCACAAACTGTTCGCACTCTCGTATCGCAATGAAGAGAAGGAACTTTCACCTTCTGCTCTGCAACTCCAAATCACAGACACCAGGATTACTGACTCAAGAAATAGGAACTCAGTAAAATAAGCTGCACAATGCACAACATCTAGATATTTATTTGGTTATAATCACTATGGTTTTTACCTTCAGATCAACACCCACAACCACGCCGCCATTTTTCATAGGCCCCAAATCCTGACAGGCTACCTGGATTAAAATAAACAGAACATGGGATCAACTGGAATAGATGTGAAAATTATAAGAAGAAAAAAAAAAAACAGAAGAATCTATATAAGACGAAATCGGTACCTGCAGCCAAGCACCAGGAGCGCATCCGAGGTCGAGAACGGATGCGCCGGGTTTTATCAGTTTGTATTGCTTCTGCATCTGCAACAGCCAGCAGCTTTTCGTGAAAGGGAATCGTTGAAAACGAAAGATAAATGAAAATTTTCTTTTCAAAGTAAAGGTATGAAAATAACCAAGGGAATAAAATCAGGAAAAGAGAAGATGAATAAACTCAACAACCTTGAATGCAGACCGTGCGACATAGCCCAGACGGTGAGCTTCTCTGTAGAAGAAGTCCGCTGTTCCTAGCCCGCTCATCTTCTCCTAATCTGAAACTATTCTTCTCTTCGATAGCTCGATTCGATTTCCTTTTTGACACTAAAAAACCAGAACGGATTTCTGATATGCTTCCTGATCGTAGGATTTCTGATATCATCAACGTCACCCTAGCTCGGACCAGAAAGGAACGGGATTCATCGTTCATGTGACCGGCCCCATATCTTTGGGGACAAAGGCTTTGACGAACGACGAATGAGAATGACAATGATGGCTCGGACCAATTCCAATTTCCAAAGCGAAAGGAGACTTTATTCGGTAAAGATTTCCCTACTTTAACTTAAGGCTGTGTTTGGTTTGAAAAAAAATTATAGAAAAAGGAAAGGAAAGGTAGGGTCCTTTCCTCACGTTTTCCTTCAAACCAAACATAGCCTGAAATCCAACACGGCCTAAAATAAAAGTTATCAAGTTTGGAGGAATTGGGATTAATTAAATGTGATGGATGTGGAACAATTTTATTAGTGGCATAGAACATTATTATTGGTTTCATAACACATTAAACATCCATTGCGTTCAGTTAATCCTCGCTCGTCTGGACAAATAGCCTCCAACGCGGCCTAACTCTACTGCTCAGACGCTGATCACCCAAACAAACAAGCTCATTAGTCAATAGTCATTACTAATTTGCTAAAATTTACCACCACCCATTACAATAATAAAGTTGCCTCCCTCGAACACTTCCCTTCCCCTTGTGCAGCTAGGCTCGAAAAACAAAACCTGATCCAAATTGGTGCAATCAATTTATTAAATTTTTATTTGTATATTAACTATTATCTACACTATTTATATAGTAAGATTGTCTACATCACCTTCCTCATTTCATGTTTCCTACTTTACTTTTTTTTCTTCCTCTTTTTCCATTTGGACCAAGTTATTATTCCTCTCAACATCTCTCTCTATCTCCTAACATTTTCTAATTTATCTCACATGCCCAATAAAATCATCTAATTCTAACATATGTTTTCATCATCTCTCTATTTTTCCTAGACTTCCAAACACATGCATTTAATTTTTCATAAATGTATTAAAATATTAATGTTTAAGTCAACTTTTTTGAAACAATTTAATTCAAATCTAAAATATTGAAATAAGATGAGTAAAAAATAATAAATAAGAGAAATAATGAAAGCAAAGCAATAGAACTTATTAATTATTATTATTATTATTAGTAGTAGTATAAATAATATTTAATATTAGCACTATAAAAGCTATATATCTTTCTCTCCATAGGACGTTTTAGGCACCATATATAACTATTTGTATTGATGATGGAATTTGGCGAACACTATATCAAGATGGGTTGAGAAAATATAAATTATTCTTTACTAATTTGAATAGATATTGATTGAACCATTTTGGTCTACCAAATTTGCTATATAATTTTTTAGAAAATATGTCATGAAGACTAAATAATACAAACACTATTAATTAACATATTTTTTTGTTAAAATATTAAATTTAATATTAATTAAACTTTGAATAAATTATTTTTCTACTATTTTTTATTTTTTTGTTAAAATTTCACTATTTTTTAGATTATGTGAAAATTTCATTGATAATTTTATTTTTCAAGAGTTTTTACTAAGAATTCATTATTGTTTTCTATAAATTATGTGAAAAGTTCACTACTAATTTTCTAAAAATAGTTTTCTATGAACATGAATTGTCTCCTTTGTTTTATAGCTTCATTGCATTGAACTTAAGATTTAGATTAAGTTGTTTCCTCAACTTTGTTAATTTCTTATGAAAAGAAAAAAAACAAAAGAAGAAATGAGGGGCCTAAAATTCACTACGCATCAAGAAGATGAAGTTTATGGGCTAGATTATTTAAATATCTAAAACCATTCGGCTCGCTAGCTTCAATTACTTGTCATACTAAAGTGGACCGGTTTGGGTTGATCAGTTTGATTTGATTATGCAATTTTGAAAATAAAAAGAGAAAATAATAGTATTTGTGTTTAAAAATAAATTTATTATTTATAAAATATCAGAAAAAATAAAAGACATAAGGGAAGATAGTAGAAAAAATTATTAAGAATTTTGTTAATTAATAGAAAACTTGATAAAATAAGGGAACCCTTTTTTGGAAAAATAAAAAAATAACAAAAAAATAGAAGCTTAATTTTTAATTAATTGGTAAAATAAGATAAAAATTCACTAAAAATAATAGTTTACAATAAATATTTATTAATGAAATATTAAAATTAGAAAGTAGCAAAAAATATTAATAAGAGAAAAGTAAATTACACAATTAACTTATTAATTGAAATAAATTAGATAACTTAGTTTTATCAACTTATTATAAAATTAATAAAATTAATTTTATAAAAAAATAAAACTTACATGATTAATGAAAATTAACATAACTAAAACAATACAAACTTGTTAACAAACTTAGCAAAAATTATTTTATTAGTTAAAATTGATACAAATTGCTAAGAAACATAATTTAAATAAAATTGATATATATATATATATAGCCTAATAAAAAAGCAACTCTCCTTTTCCCTAATCCCTTCAAGATCTTTGTTTTTGAATTCATTAGACAATACATAACCCAAGAATAATATTAAAATGGATAGGGTTGGGCTTGGCCCAATTAGAAATGTTCCAAGACTCCTAAAGATAAATAATAAAAACAACACAATTTTATTTAACATGTAACCAAAAAATGGTTTGGGTTGGACTTGAAACTACTTTAATTACCCAATTGATATTGTCATAAGGCTCGTACCATAATATTTTAACAACATCCGTGCATGACTTGAGACCCAATTGGTATATGTATGCATACAAACAGCAATAGTATAAACTGATGTTTATGTATCATTGCACATATAACATTTCTACGCAGGAGGTAGAGATGTTATATGTGCTTTGAGTGTGATCATTATATCTATCCCAACCCAATCCAACTCTCAATGGATGCAAGTTGGATACCCGAGTTCAAGAATTTACACAGTATCAGGTTTGGGCTTTTGGGTCAGGCTCATTCAAGTTTTAACAAATTCTCGATCAGAGTTTATCCAAATTGCACTCCAAGTTGATTTTTATGATTGGGTTGAGAACGAATCTGCTCCTCACATAGGGCATCTCACACCGACTTCACAGGCATATTCGACCATACATGGGAACATCTTCTGTACTTATACATTATGTATATGTGAAGTTCGTGTGAGGAGCAGATCCCAATTCTATTAGGTTGGGAAAGTGTTATGAATCTGTCAACACATCAAGCTAGGCTGTGGTTGCAACCCTATAGCGGATTCTTTCAACTAATTGAGATGAGAGCATGACAACAATTCAATGGTCCAATGGCACTCATCGGCCAAGATGTCTGCAAGGGGACTTGAGGTTGAATTAGAATTTAATCCTCACAAAACCATCTTTGCGATGTCCTCACAGACACTTGCAACTATGAATTTGGAATATCTCTATAAATAAAAAGCAGACAAATAATAAAAACATATAAAGATGTTTTCAATAAAAAAACATATAAAAAGCTACGAAGACGGCATGATGACTGACTCCAAATTCCTTGGAAGTTGGGGTTTGTCCAATTTTATATTATTTTTATCATGGTTTTTAAAACCGAATCAGTCAGGGGTCCAGTTACTGTTTCGAACGGTCCGACCATTTGACCTGAATAGTCGGTCCATTTTGACAAAAAAAAATAAAAAAATAAAAAATGGTCAAAACCATTTGAACGATTAACCGGCTGGTTCAGTGGTTTGCTGACCAAAATCAATGGTTTTGGAGCAAAACGAAACCGTTCAGGTGACTGGTTCCCAGTTTTTCTGGTCCGACCATCCAGTCCAATCCGGTTTTGAAAACCATGCTTTTCATTACTTTTTGAAGGACTACATGTAAAATGGGGTAACCCATCTCCCAACCTAAGTGAAGGCAAAATTTGATCCCAAGTGTTCCCTACAACAAAATGTCCCCATCTGTCCAACCCCCCAATAAATGTCCAACAAAGGTTAACCCTCCGTTAACTTTATTTTTTTATGGATTAATCTCTTAAGAAAAGATTAACAGGAAATCCGAAACTGGGTTAGGCGGCCCATGATGCACGACCCATCACCTCTTCCTCTCTCGAGTCTCAACTGGGACTGGATTCTAGACATGGCGATAGCTGGGAGGTTGATGGAGCCTCGATTCAATTAAAATTCATTTTATGAGGAACATATAATGCAAATATACAAGTGGTTTTTTAATTTTTATTTTAAATCCACGACAATTAATTTGTGAAATTAAAATTAAAATTTGAGTGAGATTTGGATCTGAGTGTTGCTTTTTAAAAGGATGCTATGTAGTTAGAGAGACAAAGAGACATGAAGAAGAGAAGAGAGTGAGTGACTTAGTAGTTAAAGATCTTTGGTTGCCACTGTTACAAATCAAATATATATACAAAAATTACAGAGACTAACAAAAGAAAGGGAGAGATTTTAAATCCTTCATTAAATTTTGTCGGAACCGTTTGAAGCGGTCTTGGCCTATAAAAGCAGCTCTAGGTTTTGGATTTCTCTTTATACTGATCAGAACGACGTCCTTTCAACAGATCTTGATTCTCCCAAAAAATGAACCCCGAATGGAATCGGAATGAAACTGGGTTTCGTCTTTGTTACAAACACTTGGCTTCCTCTTCCTCTCTCTCTCTCTCACTCTCTCTCCACTGTGTGTGTAGCTTCTCGTAGGGAGGCGACTATAAATTTAGAGTGAGAGTATAATAATATTTATAGGCAGTCGAGCAGGAAAAAAGGAGTCTTTTTCCTCTTCTCCCTATCTTTCTACAAACCTTAACGAAACAATGACGAAACGGTTTGCTGTTTCATCCTTGCCGTCCTCTGCAAATAAAGTTGCATTTAAGTGGGGTTTCCGGCTGAGTTATTCTAGACTGGTAGTATTTGACAAGGGTGAGATATTGGAGCTGGCAATTTGTTTTTGTAATAATTAGCGCGCATTAAACATTTTTCTACAATTGTAATAATTAGGGAACTAAAAAATAATTTAGTTAATCGAAGGGTTAACGTTTGTTGGACATTTGTTGGGAAATTGGATAGATAGGGACAGATGGCCTAATTTGAATGGGTTAGTAAGGAGGAGAGGAGGAAGAAATTAACAGGAAATCCAAACTGCATTGCAATATGCAAATAACTCATTAATTTGCATGCAAAACAGTGACGTGGGCCAAATCTTCATCTAATATATACTTTTTTTGAGGGGGTGCGCTCCGAGCAAATTCATTCATATGGATTAGGGTTTACATCGATAAGTGATTAAGTGAAGTCATGGATTCATTGGCCGACTCATTTACAATGAAAGATGGATTAGGGTTTACATTGATAATAAATTCAACGAAGCATCAATAATCGGAAAGAGCTAAAGCCTTCATGTTAGGTAATACTCTTTTTTTTTTTTTTATTTGGTGTTATACACTATTAATAATTTCCCTTAAACCCTTTTTTTTTTTAAATACTGGTTGCGGGATTTGATTCTAAAACAAACCAACTAACACACTAACTAACTAGCGAGCCATCATTGGTTCATTAATTAATACTTAAGCAAAAACTGTGCATCCATGCAGAAAAAACGCATTTCTCCCTTATCATCAATAATTAGGTAATACTTGAGCAAAAACTGTGCATCCATGCAGAAGAAAACGTATTTATCCATTATCATCAATAATTATTCAAGGATAAAAGAACGGAGATGATGTCGCAACTAGACTCTGCAAGTATCGTTTTCATTCTTCACATGTCATGAGTGGTATGGAACAAATGTGAAATGATTCCATCTTACATTGACCTCGCAATTTTGCACGATTTATATATTTGAAAGCAAACTTGGTCCCCAAGTCATGCCTAGCTAGACCGAGTGAAACAAGTTGATGATATATATTCATTATTAGACTATATATTGTACAGCTACATGGATAAACAATATAAACATCTCATGCAATGGGGAAAAAACTATTTTTAATCTTGAAAGCAAAATCGTAAATTCAATTATGGATGTGTTTGGTTGCACACGCATTGTGCGTGAAAGAAGATCAATGATCATTTACTTGAAAAATAATATTCAATAGAAAAATGATTTGTATTTCTAATTTTTTGCGGTACTTCATACAATTTAAAATGGTTGAGTAATACATGAATATTGCAATATATGAACCAAATTTGGCAGAAAATAAATATAACTTATAAAATAAAATGAAGGAATTCATAAACTGCAATGAGTACTTGCTTTATTATCTTTTACAGCCATTTCACATTCAACCAACACCATAAAGAAATTATTCCTTTAGGCTTAGTTTGAAAGGAAAACAAATATAAATATGTACAATATAGATATATGCAAAATAATAAAAAAACAAGGTTTTGCATTTATACTTCTTCCAAACTGAGCCATTGAAAGTGCTCTCAAATGCATGCTACGTAAGAGAATATGTATAGGAATGAAAATGTATAGAGGTTGATAAGTGAAAGAAGGTAGTCCATGGATTTCACCCTTTCTCATATTCTTCCTTCCAAGGCCACTCAATATTGTTTGACGGCCTTGTTTTTGAGACCTGGCAAGTGGCAACCAACAATATATGATTCAAACTCATATTTACACGGTTTGGTGCAAATTTCTAAACTGACAACTCAAATGCCAAAATCAATGTGGAATTGCATCATTGATGTCTATGGTTATTTCATCTTGATGATGCGCAATCTGGTCAAGCCTAGCTGCCGGTAACTTTGCCTCTGACAGAGCTGAAGATGCCTGAAACAAGGAAGAAACTGGAGATTTTCGGGGAGGAACCCGGTAAGAACACTCCAAAGCTCAAGTTAATATTCTTGAGAAGGCAAAGAAATAAGGGATTTCAAGACCAGAAAAGCACAAATATCACATACCTCTTTCTCTAGGGGAGGAAGGCCTTTTATAGCCGCTAGGTACACTTACTCTCAAATCTCTGCCAAGTCAAGTATAACCGCCTCTGTGGGGGGGCAGGCATAACCACCATTGTCCTCTCTATCAGAGCCGTCTCTGCCACAACTAAGATGGTGGTGGTAGGTGGCCATTACGACATAATTGCCATCTGTCAAATCCAAACTAGTCAGGCGTGCTGCCTTAGAGTACGGATTTGTCAAATATGATTTCACAGTCGCGCGACCTGGAGCCGAGGTGCCGGAGTGGTGCGCGAGGTAGAGTCTTGAGTTCGGATGTGTAAGTCCTACTGTCTCGAAGTGCTGGCATATGGTCTGAACTGACACGAGGTGGACTAGTCCAGGCCTTACCCTCGCGGGCTTCGCTGTTAGCCTCGGGATCCTTTAGGGAGAGCTCGGGTTTCACTCCCAGGAAGTGTAGGTCCCTTTTGGGGAGCTCAGACCTCTCTTTGGAATATGGCCGTGCTACGTCATCGTATCGAGTTGGCATTCCTGCCAGGTCACCCCAGTCTTCTTCCACGTGTCTCATAGCCAAGGGGTCGGACCAAAATCTACCTCCATCACATCTATTTGTGACTGTTTGACTGACCTAGATGGTGGAATCATTTGATTTGGGAATAATTCAGTTGTCTGGTTCTATTTTATCTTTAAACTTATTTTTTGGCTAAAAATCATTGAATCAGACAACTATTCATGACTCAGGCAATCAAGCTGTCGACTTGTTTAATGTTTTTTTGCTGTTTTTTATTTTAATTATTATTTTGCTAGAACAAGTCATTTATTCGAATTAAACAATCGAACCATCAATCTAAAAACCAGTGGCCAAAACAATTCCAATTCTCGATCGTTTTTTTTTTTAAACATTGCTTCAAACTACAACAAACAACCTGGGTTGGGATATCATCCATTTGGCTCCGATGTAGGGGTATTCAGACAATTAGACGTTGGCTACGCCCATTCATCCCTGTAGGCTCGTTGTACAGGTGCACCCATAACCATAAATGGGAGCCCAGATCTGCAACAATCAGAGTTAGGTACGGTATTAAGATCGAAGTTGGATTTAGTGTTTATACCGTTTGCAGAGCCTTGCATTTAGAATATCTCCCCACAAAACTTTCATAGGCTCCCCACACGTATCCTATAATACTCATCCCATTCATCCCGGCCATGTATTAAAGAGATCACTATATAACAAGTACGAAAGATGTTTTCGATACACGCTGAGATGTGCATATAAACTCATGAGGGGCGCGTTTAACGGGACACCAATATGAGTCTTATGAGCCGGATTACCTGCCAACAAAATAGGGTCCAACACCCTATCAAGAATATCTGGCACCACACATCGGCGGTCCCACTTTAATATTGGGCCCAAGCCCAAACGCCTCCAAAATCCAAATGAAAACCCCGTTTCGAAAACCGTGATATTTCATCTTCCTACTTTCTTTTATTTTTTCTCATAGATGAGAAGCTGTGCGCGTACCGTAGCCACGCCATTGATCGTATCAGCGAGAAACTCCGAACTTCGATCGGACCAGAAACCCTAGAAACCGAGCGCTTTCCATTGTTGCTTGTTATCTGTTTTGTACTCCAGGTGAAGGTTGTTTGATCTCTAAAAAATCCAGGGCATCTTCGTTTCTAAACTACCCACTGATTCATGCTCCAGTCGATAAAAGAATGATCTTTTCAAAGCTTGGACGTTCCTTGTCGCGCTCCGCAGCTTCAAGAGTAAGATATTCCATACATTTTTCTATCCTATTTTAATTCCCTCCAATGAAAGTAATCATATTCGAGAGTTTTATTTCTCTGTGGTAAATCGGTCGAGTTCCGTTTTGCAGAATGGACTCTTGGGTGCTTATGGCAGAAGATCTGCGTTTCTGAACGAATCGCTTCTTCGGTCTCCCCATGGAGACGCCTTTCCTGGGGGCGAGCATAGCAGATTAGGGTCTCTGAGGTGTTACTTGATTTCTATAGGAACCAACAAGGAATTTGCTTCCAAAAGATACTCTTTGGATTTCAATGCCCTTCTTGCGAGTCCTAGACTCCATCGGTTTTTCTCCAATGAAGCTCCCAAAAAGAAAAGTGAGAAAGTCTTTTTGGCTTTTTAATTTCTATATTCGTGTGGTTTATGTGGTTCTCGTGTTGTTTCCACATCTGATTCTTATTGTTCGTGACTTACTTTTGTGATTTTACAGACTACGAGAACTTCTATCCAAAGAATAAGAAGGAAATTCCCAAAGGGAACAATCAAAAAACCGAGTCAAAAGGTAAGTGGTACCTGTTTTGGGGCTTGTTTGTTGCTGGGTTATTTTACTAAAGGAATGCAATTGTCGGATATTGTTGTTATCATTTGCGTTTTTTTACATTATATCTTGTATTCAACTTCCGCATAGCAAAAGAAACCTTTATTTTTTATTTGTTTTTGAAGAAAGGTAAGGCATAATGTATTAATTCAAAAAGTATATGGTCCTCTGAATAATGAGTTGCTGTGCAAGTATAAGTCAAATTAGGACCTCAAAAGAAATCCACCCTCAAAAAAGAAACTGCAAAAGTATCCTCCTTATATACATTATGAATAGACAGCCAATCTCTAATAAGTTGCGCCACCACATTGGTAGCTTCTGCTTCTGATGTAGCTTTCTGTTAAAAAAATTCTGGAACCTCTCAGGCCATACAGCCCAAAGGATTTAGTCATTCCAGAGACCTGCCACCCCTCCAAAAAGTGCTCACTGAATTGGGAAAGCATCGGTTCAGATTTACTGCCTTCGGAAAATGATTCAACACTTCTGTACTGAAGTTACAGTGCAAAAATAGATGGCTTGAGGTCTCTTTTTCCACATTACAAAGTGAACACGTCAGATCTGAAAAGTTGAAACCCTTTTTCAGAAGAGCATGTCTTTAGTGAGGCATTTTTCCTAGGATGCCACCCATGCGAAGACCTCGACTTTTGAAGGAGCTGCAGACCCTCAAACTCCTATATTTTTGGTTTTAACTTTGGGAGGGGGAGATTGGAGCAATCTTGATAACTGTCACCTGGAAATTTAGATGCCTTGTTTTGCCATTTTATTGCAAGAAGTGAGTTTTAGACTAATGAAAAAACCAGAAAATCTTTCAGATGGATGTTAGGTTTGATCCTATATGAGCAATTCTGGGTTGGTCTGGATCTAGTTGAGCCATTTGTAAATACTAAAATAGGAATGTGGAACATCTTTCTGTTCCCAACATTGTTGATGAAAAGTGGGACACTATACAAGATGGTATTACTGGTTGTCATTAAGCCTGTTTCTTACAAAAATACAGCAAAATCAACCAACTAATGGAGTCCAAATCCTAAGTAATCTGTATGGATTTGCATTTTCTAGGTATTGATTATGAAAAATAAACCATGTAGAATTATGGATATATATCATTAAATCTCCTGATATAGAGACTGCATGAATCAGAAACCACCACCATTTGCTTTTTACCAACTTGATAGAGATATATCATCTTTATATGCAACTCTGCTTCCTGACAGTGATACACTTTCTGTGAAATCTCAAATGACAAGAAGTTCAGCAGAATTTCAAAGCTTATGTGAAAGGCCATATAGTCTTTTTTTTTATTTGAAAATTTATACATTATATCCCTCTTATCATTATAAAATGTTAAGAAAATAGGCAGTGTTTCAGAATATGAATAAAGTTATGAACAATAGCATTTGATGTGCTTCTTTGCTGAAAACATCAGACTTCTTTGCTGATTTTTCCTTTGATGATCTTTGGAGAAATTGGCTAGCTGTGGCTAATACTTCTACTAGGAGGATTAGAAGAGTGATGGAATGGACACCGCCTTCAGAGGGTGTCATTAAGCTAAACTTTGATGGGAGTAGTCAGGGTAATACAGGACCTTCGGGTATAGGAGGGGTCCTAAGAAATAAGGATAGCAATATTATTTCCTTATTTTCAGGAACAGTCAGAGTGGGTGACTCCACAAGAGCAGAGATACTAGCTACCGTACAAGGGATTGAGATTGCAAACCAGATTGGGGTGGGGCATTTATTAATTCAAGGTGACTCACAGGTGGTGGTGGGATGGCTCCTGAACCCGGATTCTGCCATTTGGAGCTATAGGGATCTTTTTAAAAAATTGAAGTGGCTGACTAGCAACATGACAATTAGTGTTCAGTGGGTGAGAGGCAAATTCTATAGCTGATTCATTAGCCAAACAAGGGGTTTCTCAGAACTGTCTGTTTTGAATTAACTTGTAACTTATTCAAATTGTATTTAAGAATTTTCTTTAGGTTTCCCTGAAGAGGTCGCCCTCTTGCCTCTTCTTGGGATGCTTGTAACTCCTATTTTCTGTCATTAATACATTTCTTCATTCATTAAAAAAAAACATATGATGTGCTATTTAGCTTGAGAACAAATTTCAAATAGATTTATGAGGAAAATAAATTGTGGTACTAATAAATAGGATGATATTTAATGACAATGGCAAAAACAAGATGTATACCATATTATGTATTATTTATGCCAGGGGAAAATTTTTGAGATGAATAATTAGTAATACTAGCAAAATGGATGGGAAAAATTGTCTTTGAGAATTCAGGTGCAATTAATTCTCTGGTGCTACTTTTTGTGGTGTTTAAATAAAAACCCCACCTTTAACATTTATATGCCATTTAAGGATGACACTAGAATCTACAAATTCCATGAGTACATTCGATGGAGGAGGAAGGATTAGTATGTTTGTAATAAGTTAGGTGTCAAGATTTTGCCTAGAGGCCAGAGGTGCAAGAGAAAGAGAGGCAATAAATTGTAAAGTGCAGTCATCACAACTTTTATTGGCTTTGCACGTGTTTTGTACCAGTTAGTCAAAACATTGACTAGTCATTTGACCTAGTTTTAGCCTTTTAGAACCATTGTCAATTAGCTGGCTGACTAAGCATTTAGGACACACCTCTCAAGTCAGCCAACTAGACATTTTAGGCTTCAGCATTACAACACATCAGGCAATGCTTTCATTCTGGTATTGACATTTTTGCATTTCATTCCACAAGTTTATTGCGTATTTAATCTTTTTTATGGTTAAAGTAAAATTTCTTAGAAGAACATAAAAGAAAAGAAAATAAATGGGGTGTATATGGGCTCTGTGGTCCAAGAAAAGCAAAAACAACCCAAACAAAAACAAAAGGTCAATCAACAATGGAACAAATAGAGCCACACCCTGCCAACCCCAGCCCTATATAGATGGTGCTGGTGCATTTAAATTTCTACACGATCAACTCTGCAAATAACACAACTTTCAAACTGGACAAACAGCCACCAAGAAATAGAAAGTATAACAACCAAGCAAAAGAACAAACACACAGAAACAGCAACCAGCCAACCAATAAACAAAATATATAGATAGGATCTCCACATAGAGGTGTTATTTATCTTTTTAAGTTTAGACACCATTTTTCTTGTTGACTGGTCATTACTTAGGCAGGTATTGGTGGACACTTTACTTAGCGAGATCAAACCAACTAATAGTTAGCCTTGCCATCTTTACTGCACTGCTTTTAAAACAAAATGAGTATGGTGCCACTGGTCAATCGTGAACAGGCTATATAAAATTTATTCCATATGATCCTAAGATCGCATATTGTTGTATGGGTTTGTTCTCTCTATAGGTATAATTCTTTTAATGGATAACTCTTTCTAGGTATAATTATGGAGTGTTTTAGTGCTATCATGTCTCCAGTTTCTTGGCTATTTCAGAAATGAAATTGCATGGTGGATGATGCAATATATATGCGATTTTCATCTGTTTATTCCTTGTAGTGAACAGGCTATATAAATTTCTACCATGTGATAGTTCTTTCACTATTTTTCAGAGGAGTCAAACACCGAAAATCAGGGGAATTTCCAGGAAAATTTCATGAAGCAGTTGCAGAACTATTTGACCCCTCTAATGTTTATTGCATTGGTGCTTTCGTCATTCTCTTTCGGTTCTCATGACCAGAAACAGGTCCAATTTCCCACCCTTTTCCACTTTCTCCCTTGTCATGTTATGAACATCTCATTTGCTGCTTACTTTTTGGTTTTATCCATCAGAAGTAAAACCTAGGTCATTTGACTTAATTGACTCTGATAATTCACCTTAGGTGTTCTGGACTCTGGTAAGTTTTTTTCCTTGTCACTTAATGAAAACAAAATATTAACAAACTCTTTATTTATTTATTTATTTTGGTAAGATATTAACAAACTCTTTATTATCAAACAACTAGGGCATAGAAACATGTAAAAAAACTAGGGTATAAAAAAATCTTTAGCTGCCCATTTGGTGTTTTTTGTTTCAGTGTAATAAATGCCGTATTATCTGCTTATGCACAACTTATAGTGAAACATGATTTTTCCCTCTTTTTTTTTTTAATTATATATAATAGACCGGCATTTGCACTCTAATACAGCCTGATGTTCAGATTGTAGTTTTGTTTCACACAGGCTATTAAATTTGCTTTTCAAGTTTAGTTCATTTCAATTTCTTGAATGATACAATTTTACTAATATTTTTTTTTTGAGAAAAGGTAAAGTATTTCATTAAAGAAGAGAAGAAATTACAGGAGACCTGCACGGTAAGACACTGAGCAGGAAAATCTCTCAAACATTTACAGTTTTAGATTAAAGGTCAGGGATATACTCATACATTAATGATCCATGGATCAGTATTCTCTTATGGTTTGTCTTTTGTGAGACTACAGGAGTGGACACTTTTATTTTATTTGATCAATAACAGAAACTTTATTAAAATGAAAATAACATAAAATACACAGCAATGTTCCAAGCACTGCAAAATAGATATATAGCCTTGGCTAGTGGTCTATCTTACTCATTTTTCTGTTTGCATGTTCCTACCTTGTTTGACTAAACCTCAATATATTTGATTTCTGTTAACCCTTGTTTTGGCAGTCTGTCAGCTATGCTGTTGGCCGACATTGGAATCCATCTCTTTTTTTTTTTCAGTTCTGCAGCCAACATTTAGATTTCCCTTAGAATATGCCTATATTTCTAATATCCTCCATAGTTCCTTCTTATCCACCCCACAGCCACATGAGAATCTCTTCAACCAAAATATCTCTGAAACTCAGTGATTTAGCCATCCTTGATGCTTGTAGAGCAGTCCAAATTTCTGCTTTTATTAAAACACCATACCCAGCCGGCCCTGAGTAGATATCTAGTGAATTTCCTTTGCAGTTTCTAAAAGATCCTCAAACTCTGAAGAGACCTGGATTTCCTATTCTGCATCTGTCAAAAACCATTTTTATCAGATTTGGTGTTGGACGACATCATGGTATTGGTTAGTTTTTTACTATGCAGTTCAGTCATATAAAGTGGCAGACCATGGTTGCTCACTATCAGCAAATAATTGCATTTGAATTCTCTTTAATACCTCCTAGAGTTGACCATGGTTGCTCACTATCAGCAAATAATTGCATTTGAATTCTCTTTAATACCTCCTAGAGTTAAGTGCATGCCAAATAGGGTTGTCAATGGACTCTGGAAGTCCAGAAAATTGATCTGACATCCAATCTGATGAAAAATTATTATATCTATATGCATATAATATAATGGTATATTATAATTAATTATATATAATATAATTAAAAAATTATTATATATGTATAAGTTAATATGTAGTTATTTTTTTTAACTTTTTAAATCTTTATTTTAATGACAATAAAGTGGATTCAGATTAAATTCGAATAAGATATTTTGGATTCTGGATCAGATTTGGATTTAAATTTTCAATAATTGGATTGGATTCAGATGTGGCTGGATTTAATCTGGATACGGCCTGATTTACTGCCCTAATGGTAAGTTGGACTTCTAGCTGATTTATGGTTTATTGTACTACGGTGATGCTTGATATCTGCTGAAATAGGTGCTGAAAGAGGAATGAGGAAAATATTCCAAATTTAAGAAAACCCCATTCAGCATATCAGTAACTTGTTACCTACCTAGTTGCTGTCTTGCTGAATGATAAAGCATATGAATTGAGGTGATAATTTTTCCTTTTATCATATACCAATAACAGCTCTGGATTTAAGCTGTTTTTAAGTTTGGCATCTCTTATGGGTTCTAATCTCAGTGCCTATTTCAGCAGTTATCTAACACTACATAAAATATTGGTACTGTGGAGAGAGTTATTCAATTGTGTGAAGTGAAACAGGGTTTCATGGTTCAATTCCACTTATATGGTTTTCACCATCCCTTGATGTCATATGTATTATAATAAGAATATCAAACAAAAGTAGGGAAGGTGTTAACAATTGAATAGATAGTGAATAGGAGATAGGAGAGGAGGTGTTTACCAACCAGGATGACATAGCTAAAAAATTTGTGGACCACTTCAAATTGATTTATAGAAGGCCTTTGAGAGAGAGGACAGTCATGGAAAGGGTGGATTGGCCAAGAATTGATGAAGGAGTGGCAAGGTGGCTGGAAAGGGATTTCGAGGAAGAAGAGATTAAGAAAGCTGTCTTTCTAATGGATAGATCCAAGGCTTCGGGTCCAGATGGCTTTACAATGGGTTTTTATCAAGACTGTTGGGTGGTGTTGAAAGAGGATCTAGCTGAAGTCCATAAGCCCTGGAATTAATGCCACCTTTTTGGCCTTGATACCTAAGAAGAATGATGCCAACCACCCAAAAGATTATAGGTCTATTAGTTTGGTGACAAGCATCTATAAAATTCTGGCTAAAGTTCTCTCATTGAGGATCAAAACAGTCCTCCCTACCATCATTAGTGAAACCCAGGGGGC